GCTGCATTCATTCCACCTTCCTCTCCCCATCCTAACCCCTTGGCTCCGGATTAAGCAGCCCCCACCCCTCTCCAAATTTCCCCAGAGCCGCAAATCCCCTTGCCCCAACTAAACCCCGGGGCAGGAAGGCGTCCCTGTGTAATCCGATTCCGAAGGGGCCAGGCTTTTCTTGCCGGTGACTTTCCCCGCAGCTGGTGCTTCGCTGGGAGCCCACGGTCAACAGCAAGCAAGCAAGCCGGCGTCAGGAGAAGGGAGAGGAGCCTGTCAATGGGTGGGTGAGGGAGTGGGTCGTCCAAAGGGGTCGAGACGGAGGGGTTCTGCCAGCGCCTTTGGAGGAGACGCAGCGCCGAAGCCGGGAGGAGCCTTGGCAAAGGTAGGGGCCAAGATAAGGAGCCTCCTTTTGGGCCAATCAAAGCCTTTGGACAGGGCGAACTTTTGAGTCCAGCTCTTGCTCCCTTCAACCAGGCAGGGGTCCAACCGGTGCGGCTTTCTCTTTGCAAGGGGATCCATAGGGAGTGTTGGAAATCTCCCCTGTTGAAGCCCAGGGTGCTGTGGCTACCCCTAAACCAGGCAGACATCCAACCGGTGTGGCTTTCTCTTCACAAGGGTGTGATTCCTTGGAAATGTTTCAGGGTGCTCTTTCTCCCCCAAAACAGGCAGCCATTCCACCGGTGCAGGTTTTTCCTTACAAGGAAATCTATAGGGAAGATCTATAGATCTTAAACCAGGCAACCATTCAACCGGTGTAGCTTTTTCTTCTTTACATGCTGTACTACTTTAGAAACTTTAGAAACCTCAGGGTGCTTTTGCTCCCTTTAAATCAGGCAGCTATTCAAGCGGTCAAGCTTTTCTTCTGTGTGGGGTGTACTTGGGAAACTTCTTCTCTTGGAGTTCAGGATACTCTTACTTCCTCAAGTCAGGTAGACATTCAACCGGTGCGGCTTTTACTTCACAGGGAAGCTGTAGAGATCAGGAGCCTTCTACACTGCCATATAACCCAGATTATCAATCAGATAATCCACATTTTATTTGAACTGGATTATATGAGTCTACACTACCATATAATCAAGTTCAAAGCGGATAATCTGGATTTTATATGGCAATATAGAAAAGGCTTCAGGCTGGATCTATACTGCCATATAATCCAGATAATCAAAGCAAATAATCCAGATTATTTGCTTTGAACTGGATTATATGAGTCTACACTGCCATATAATCCAGTTCAAAGCAGATAATCTGGATTTGAATATGGCAATGTGGAAGGGGCTTCAGGCTGGATCTACACTGCCATATAATCCTGATTATCAAAGCAAATAATCCAGATTATTTGCTTTGAACTGGAGTATATGAGCCTAAACTGTCCTATAATCCAGTTCAAGGCATATAATCTGTGTTTTTATAAGGGGTCTCGGGCTAGCGCTACAATGCCATATAATCCAGATTATCAAAGAAAATACTCCAGATTATTTGCGTTGAACTGGATTACATGAGTCTACACTGCCATATAATCCAGTTCAAAGCAGATAATCTGGATTTTATATGGCAGTTTAAAAGATACCTCAGGCTGGATCTACACTGATAGAGTCCAGATTATCAAAGCAAATAATCTGGATTATTTGCTTTAAATTGGATTACATGAGTCTACACTGCCATATAATCCAGTTCAAAGCAGATAATCTGGATTGTATATGACAATATAAAAATTGTCATATAAATATAGGCAGGAGCTATATTGCCATATAATCCATATTATTAAAGCAGATAATCCACATTATCTTCTATGAACTGGATTATATGAGTCTACACTGCCATATAATCCAGTTCAACACATATCATATGGATTTTATATGACAGTGTAGAAGGGGTCTCAAGCTGGATCTACACTGCCATAGAGTCCAGATTATCAAAGCAAATAATCCCAGTTATTTGCCTTGAACTGGATTATATGAGTCTGCACTGTCATATAATCCATTTAAAAGCATATAATATGGATTTTATATGGCAATGTAGAAGGGGCCTCAGGCTGGATCTATACTGCCATATAATCCGGAGTAAGCAAATAATCCAGATTATTTGCTTTGAACTGGATTATATGAGTCTACACTGCCATATAATCCAGTTCAACACATATAATATGGATTTTATATGGCAATGTAGAAGGGGCCTCAGGCTGGATCTATACTGCCATATAATCCGGAGTAAGCAAATAATCCAGATTATTTGCTTTGACTGGATTATATGAGTCTACACTGCCATATAATCAAGTTCAAAGCATTTAATCTGGGTTTTTTATGGCATTGTAGAAGAGGCCTCAGACTTTGGAAACTCCCCTTGTTATAGCCCAGGGTGTTCTTGCTCCTTTCAGCCAGGCAACTATTCAACCCATGTGGCTTTTCTGTTGCAGGAGACACTGTTATGAAATGTGACTTCTCAAGCTCTTCCTCTATTGAGAACTGATGTGCTCTTGCTCCCTTTAAGTCAGTCAGTCATCCAACTGGTGCGGCTTTTCTTTACAAGGCAGGCTGTATGTGCCTGTAAAGAGCCTCTGCCAACTTCTCTGGCTGAAGCCCAGAATATGCTTGCTCACATAATTCAGGCAGCCATTCAACTGGTGCAACTGTCCTTGATAGGGAAGGTTACCTGGAATGTGACTATATAAGAGTTCTTTAAATACTTGCCCTGTTGAAACCCAGGATGTTTTTACTCCCCTAAATCAGGCAGTCATTCAACCAGTGCGGCTTTTTACTTTACATGGGAGACCATATGGAGTGTGCATGCAAAACTACTTTAGAAACCTGCCCTCTTGCAGGATGCTCTTGCTCTTTAAATCAGGCAGCCATTCAACTGGTATGGAAATACTCCTATTGAGAACTGATTTGCCCATGCTACTCTAAGTCAGGGCCTTTCCACACAGCCATATAACCCAGAATATCAAGGCAGATAATCCCACAATATGTGCTTTGAACTGCGTTATCTGAGTCCACAGTGTCATATATTCCAATTCAAAGCACTAAATGTGGGATTGTATTATTCAGCTGTGTGGAAGGGGCCTCAGACAGCCATTCAATAGGTGTGGCATTTCTTTATGGAAGAAATTATATGGAATGTTCCTATAGAGATGCTTTGGAAGCTTCTCCTCCAATTCTTCCTTCTTTATGTCAGGCAGCCATTCAAATGGCAAGGTTTTCGCAGCAGGGGAAGGGTGTCTCTACCTTGCTTGTGGGACTGTTTGTGACACTCGTCTTGAACTCTGTAACATGCTTCTCTTTTGTAAATAATAAAAAAGTCAGGCAGAAATGCAAAAATTGCGGCTTCCCAAAACAGGAAATGTGTCAAGGAGGAGAAAACATGCTGAAGTCACAGGCCCCTTCGACACTGCTATATAAAATCCAGTTTATCTTCTTTGAAATGGATTATATGACAGTGTAGACTCATATACTCCAGTTCAAAGCGTATAATGTGGATTACCTGTTTTGATAATCTGGTCTAAATTGCATTGTAGAAGGGACTACAGAGAAAGGTCTCATTTAGGAGGGGCTACACAGGAACCCTACTCAGGATGTGACTGTGACTGCATCAATAATAATAATAATAATAATAATAATAATAATAATAATAATAATAATGTATTGTCCAAGGCTTTCATGGCTGAAATCACAGGGTTCTTGTAGGTTTTTTGGGCTATACGGCCATGTGCTAGAAGTATTATCTCTTGATGTTTCGCCTGCAACTATGGCAAGCATCCTCAGAGGTTGTAAGGTTGCTTGCCATAGATACAGGCGAAACGTCAGGAGAGAATGCTTCTAGAACATGGCCATATAGCCCGAAAACCTACAAGAACCCAATAATAATAATAATAATAATAATAATAATAATAATAATGGCACAAGCCAGTAAAGGTGGTCCCAGTGGTGATCGGCACACTAGGTGCAATGCCTAAAGACCCTGGTCTGCACTTAAGCACAATCGGTGCTGACAAAATTACCATCTGTCAGCTGCAAAAGGCCACCCTACTGGGATCTGCATGCATTATTCGCCGATACATCACACAGTCCTAGACACTTGGGAAGTGTCCGACGTGTGATCCAATTCAACAGCCAGCAGAATGTCTGCTGTGGACTCATCTTGTTGTGTTTCAAATAATAATAATATTTATTTATACCCCACCACCATCTCCCCAAAGGGGACTCGGGGCGGCTAACATGAGGCCAAACCCAAAGATACAATACAGCAAAATAAAATACAATACAAAAAGCAAACAACAAAAATTAAGTCACAATAAAATCCATATAGTAACAACATAAAATAAACAAAGCGAAATAATGTAATATAAAATCAAAATCTACTCTGTACAATTAATGCAGATCGACACCACTTTCATTTCCCGATGCTCTTCATTGTCCCAATGCTCTGGAATCCCGAGAGCTGTAGTTTTACAAGGTCTTTACCCTTCTCTGCCAAAAAATGCTGGTGCCTCACCAAACTACACATCCCAGGATTCCATAGCATTGAGCCATGGCAGTTCGAAGTGCTGTTGAACTGCATTGATTCTACAGTGCAGATGCACTGTAAAAAATGGTAAATGGTAAAAGGTGAATTATAAAAAGAAAAGGCATAGGGCTGCATATGTTTCTCTTGATGTATCCATATTACATGGTTAGAACGCTACATATCACTGCAACTGCTACATAATTGGGAGTTTTGTGGGCTTCTCTGAATAGTTTTGTGGGCTTCTCTGAAGGGAGAATTTGGGCATGATGTGTGCATGGCAGAATCTGAAATACTTCATAAAACTTCGTATCTTATGATTGCATAAGAGCTAGAGTGGTATCAAACTCTCCCGATTGTGCAAAAAATCCTTGAAAGGCAGGCAATCACTGTTTAAGGGACCAAAATACCTTAAAGGCACCAAATCCCTTTGATATTGGGGGGGGGGGAGCTCCCCAGGCTCCCCTTCCCATCATTGTAGCCATTATTTCAGCTGTTTTATTTTAGTGGAGAGGCACTCAGCTACAGGCAGGTGCATACTTTAAGGAGGCTTCTCTTATCTGTTTCTTACTCTAGAGGAGATACTTGGTTGCAGGGAGGCGTGTGTGCACTTTCTGGGCTCACACACCACACGAACTTTCCAAAGTAAGGAGGCAAGTTCTCATTCTTACTCTAGAGGAGGCGCTTGGCTGCAGGCAAGCATACACACTTTCTGGCCCTGCGCACCACACACACACTCTCTTTCTGAGGCAAGTTCTCATTCTTACTCTAGAAAATGCACTCAGCTGCAGGTAGGCATGCATACTACCTGGCCTGGATGCCACACATACTTTCCAAGGTAAGGAGGCAAGTTCCCATTCTTACTCTAGAGGAGGCGCTTGACTG